TCAGAATTTGTGTTATTGTTCATAGAATAAAATAGTCTAGAACTATTATGTGTTCTCAAGATTTTCATTCTGAGACGGTTTTAAAAAAATGAATGAGCAGTTATTAAACTTGTAGCAGTGGACACTTTATATAGGACGGTTTTACAGCAAAAATTACTTTCATATAATTGTCAGTTCCTACTTTGAGTTCAGTTACTTTTTTCATTTCATACAGTGCTATTGTCTTTTAATAAAAAAGTATAAATCAAATCTCATCATTTTCACTCTCCTCAAATACTGATTAATTATCTATACCATTGCTTTTTAGTCAGTCTCTGTCTTATATAATTTCCATCAATTTCTATGACTTCAATTGTTCTCTTTATCCATTTTCTTAACAAATATTTATGTGCTCACAAAGTGCCAGGAATTGGTCTGAATGCAGTCATTATAAATGAGAATCACCCCTAAGTCATGAAATTACTTTTGATTTCTAATATATAGTACTGTCTATAATTATTTGTGTGTTAGCTTATCTGCTAAATACCCATAATAAATCATAAGCTAGGCATATTTTATAGCACATAAAATCACTTTGGAAGTATTTAAATGTGTAATAGGTGATAAATGACATTTCCTTTAAATAAATTCTTCCTCTGGCTTCCTGTTAATAGTACCAATAATCTCCAAATCTCTTTGTATTAAGAATAGAAACATCAATTGAAATATAGCAACAATGTTAAGGTTTAGCAAAGTTTAAGTTTTTCTATACATTATTGCATTTGAGCTTCATAACATCATGGTGAGTTTGGGACTCCGACTTTTATTTCACACATTGGGGAACAGAAGTAAAACAGATAGAATTTTTCTCTCTTTACAGATAGAAATTTTTAGATGCAGAATTTTTAAATATCCAGGTCTTTAGATTCAGAATTGCTCATTCTTTTACTGCAACATTTCTTATCTAATAAATTTCCACTAATAATTTTAAATTCACAAGTGAATTTCATCAGTTGAATTTTATCAAATTTTGAGACCATCACTCACTATCTGAGATAAAAAAACAGAAAGCTGAATTTATTGCCTTACTTAAGAGGAAGCTAGGCAGATCAACCACAGTCTCAGAAAGGGAAGTTTTCGTATGTTTTGGGGGAAACTCAGAGTTCCAGATATTTGGGAAAATTTGAAGTTGAGAGGAGGTTGATGTCAACTTTAGAAGCATGGTAATTCGGGTGAGACCATTGTTAATTGATTTGCATTCACAATCGTGTTCATTGCAGTGAATCCACTTTGATTACCAGACTTGCAGGAAAAAAAGAGTTTGCCACTTGTTGACTTGGAGAAACATGATAACAATTACAGGGGCAGCTGATTATCAATTGATTAAATAGGATTGAAACGTCTGTTGGTGGCTACTTGTTACTATAGCTACAGAACAATCAGTTCCCTCCTTCCATCCTCCTCCTCCTTCATTTTATTTTCAGTTTATTAATCTTTATATCCTCATGGCTTAATACAGAATTTTGTATTCAGGCATTTCCAAAGACTGTGGAGTAAATGATTTGAAAATATTATGTCTGACAAAGGCCTAACATCTAGAATCTACAGGGAACTCAAATGTGCCGAAAAGAAAAAAAACAAACAGCCCCATTATACAGCTGGCAAAAGATATAAATTGACATTTCTCAAAAGAAGACATAGGAGCAGTCAACAGATACATGAAAGAATGCTCAGTGTCACTACTCATTAAATAAATGCAAATTAAAATCAAACTGAGATGCCACCTAACCCCAGTCAGGATGGCCATAATCAGTAACTAAAAAAACAACAGATGCTGGAGAGGATGGGGGAAAGGGGAACACTTCTACACTTTTGGTGAGAGTGGAAACTAGTAAAACCTCTGTGGTTTAAAACAGTGTGACGACTCCTAAAAGATCTAAAATTTGACCTCCCATATGACCTTGCAATCCCCCTACTTGTAATATACCCAGAGGAACTCAAATCGCTGCACATGTATGTTTATTGCAGCATTATTCACAATAGCAAAAACATGGAACCTGCACATGTATGTTTATTGCAGCATTATTCACAATAGCAAAAACATGGAACCAATCGTGCTACTCATTGAAAAAGGACTGGATAAAAAAATGTGATACATATACATGATAGCACATTATGCAGCCATAAAGGACAAAATTATGAATTTCATGGCAATTTGGATGGGTTTAGAGTCTATAATAATGAGTGGTCTATCACAGAGACAAAGAACTGAGTAACATGTTCTCACTCATAAGCAGACCTTGAACAATTATCATAATACTATTAGAAAGGAATTGGCAGTAGTGGAAAACTGCTGGGGGAGGGAGAGGCACACCTCATTAACAAGGGTAGCTGCATAATGAACATGTGTATATCTAATCCTGAATTGTACACCACATCTTTAGAATTAAAAATTAAAAAAAAGAAAGAAAATTGAATGAGTCATTTTGGACCCATCTTAAGTTTTTTGCCATGCATTCCCTTGTTTTCTTTTCCCTCTTATATAGTTTTATTTTATCTGAATTATGGTCCTAGCTTCTACTTCCCTCCAGTTTTTCTATCCCTCAATCCATTTTACACTTAAAGGGTATACTTCAATATAACTTTGATGATGTAAAACTCTTGCTCAAAACTAGTTACTTTCTAACCTATTGAACTAAGGCCACATTTTCTAGTTTTCTATTGATGATCCTTCTGCATTTTACATACACTTTACCAGTTTTTTTCTCACTTTTCACTGCTGTCCTCTTCGGCTAAGACACACAAAGGCCCTGTTCCCAGGGCATGTCTACTCTTTCCCTCTACACCTTTACTTATGCTGTTCCACTACCTGGAATACCCTCCCCCATTCACCCGTTTCTAGCTAATAAAATCCTATATATACTTATTTCAGTTTCCCATTCATACAGAATGGTCTTATCCCTAATTTCTTCCTTTGTCTGAACATATTAAATCACTGGTTGTGCTAATTAGAGGAACACATTTTTCTGTTTAGCAGTACAACTATTTTGTATTTCTTATTAGTTAGGTATTATTATCCCAAATTGTTAGCAGAATTCATGAATTCTTTATCTTTTCTATCTCTTGAACAATCTTTTAAAATATTTGAATATAGTAGCTCTTTTACAAACATATGTTGAAGGGATTCAAAATATTTCAGATGGTGTGTGTTTCTTTCTTTAAAAAGCATATTGATTTCTACCTATTAGCACTATTAAATCTCATACAATCTAAGAGATAGGATAGTAATAGTTTGGGGGCAAAAATGTCAATAGTTTGTTTGAATAAGTGCACATTTATTGTAATGACTGGTATATATGAATACTTGTTTTCAATCTACATGATGTTTTATGTAGAAAACTTTATGACAATGGTTGATATTTGCTTGGGGCAAAGTAAATAATGCTTGACCAATTTTTATATTTTATTTTAATAATGGCATCTATTTGAGACCAAACATATACATGCACATGTCTATGTATAACATAGCAATGAATAGGCATGTGGTCTACTCTGTTTAATTCCTTTCTCGCAGCATCCTTTATTTAATACACTCATAAAATGAAAGAGTTCTAAGTTATGTTCCTTACAGGTAAAACTAACTAGTGTCCAGTGAGAAGGAAGAACGTATTTTAGAATTCAGTAGTCACCATATAATAAATACTTGAATAATGATTATCAAATGAGTGGAAAATTTCTAGCATTCAGAATCCCAAAGTTAAGTTAGTAAGTTTTTTTTTTAGAAAGGCAGGGCCCATGCACAAAACATTATTTAGTTCTTTTTTATAAAGTATTTCCAAAAATTATTTTGACATCTGCTGGTTAACAATTAAATTTAAAAAAGAGGTAGAACATATGTATTGATAACTTTTTACCTCCCAGTCTTATGCATTTAAGTGCTCAATAAATATCTTGTGAAAAATGAATAAAACAATTAAATGTGAGATGATGTAATGGTCTGCATACATTTAACTTGTTTTTCCTGCTAATTCAAAATGTGGCCAGGACAGCAGTTTCAGCATCACTTGGTAGTTGATTGGAAATGCAGAGACCCAGGTTCGCTAATGACCTAATGAATGAGATTCAGTAGTTAAAAAGGTCCCCAGATAATTCATATGCACATTAAAAATTGAGAAGCACTGTATTATTCTATAGATAGAAGTAGACCAAAAAATATTAGTTAATTTTCTCCTCCCCTATAACTTTTTTAAAAAGTACTTTAATAATAGTTGTTCTGATTAATCATGGTTCTGGTAATCAGAATGTACTCGTACATATGTGATACAGATCTTTTAATGCTAGTCAAGCTAAGTTAAGATAAATTTGTGGTAAGAAAAATGCATTGTCACATTGCCAAAACATTGCTTTGACCTACTGCCAGGATTTATGTTTTTATTTTGTTTGATTGTTTTAATTAATTAATTAACATTTAAATTGCCAAACAAAAATAGTATATGTTTATTGTGTACAACATGATGCTTTGAAATATGTATACATTGTAAAATGGCTAAATTGAGCTAATTAACATATGCATTACCAAACATATTTATCACTTTTGTGATGAGATGACTAAATATCTACTCTCTTATAATTTTTAAGAATACAATACATTGTTACTATTGTACTATGTACAACATATGTTGTACAATAGATCTTTTCAGCTGAGGACTCCTGTCTAACCAAAATCTTGTATCTGTTGATCAACATGTCCCTAACCCCTCCCCTCCCCAGCTCCTGATAAGCACCATTTTACTCTCTACTTTTATGCATTCCACTTTTTAGATTCCAAATATAAGTGAGATCATGCAGTATTTGTCTTTTTGTGCTTAGCTTAGTTCCCTTAATGTTCTCTAGATTTACCCAATTTCCTTCTTTTTAAAGCATGAATAGTATAGTATTTCATTGTCAGGATAATGTTTCAACACCTCTGGGATTAATGATAAACTTCACATAAAGAATTATTTTACAACTTGGTTCCCGGAATGAGAGCAGTAAGTAAATTCTAATGCTAAGTAGCAAAGGAACCATTTGAAGGAGCTGACACTTTATACGTGTGATTACAAATTATTATTGACTCCCTGGATGTGGCAAAGGACATGAAATCAGATCAACTTAATGCTCAGGACTCAAATTCATCTCTAAAGTCTGAGAAGAAAAGTGACATTCTACTTTAACAGATGCACAATAATGTAAAAAATATATTTAAGAAATTTCAAAAATTATTATTTATATAGTATTTTTGTTTTATTTATTTTTTATTGTGCAAATACATGGCTTATGTCAACACATAGACATATTTGGCACTTTGCATACTTTAACAGAAGCAAAATTCAATTAGAAAGTATAACTTTTTTTACTGGGAACCAAAGCATTAAACCATTTCATGTAATTGTTTAATTACCAGGATACCATTTTAATTGACATGCTAATATAACTTTCCATGGAAAGGAAAATGCAATCCTTTACTTTTGTTTCTTATCTAATGAAATCTACTTTCTTAGATGGCCTAGTTTGGCAATTTGACGTAGGAAAAAGTATTATGAAATGAAATTTTCATGTGAACAAGGAAAATAAATTAACTTTAGTGCTCATCCTATTGGTCTGCCAAATTGGAAGGACATTTTAAACCTGATTATCATGTTCTAATTAGTCTCTCAAGGACATTCATGGACCATCGAGTGTTCATTAATCTGTCTTCTTCCTGTAACATTGATTTGTTCATTACCCTTTTAGAGCCTGAAATATAGAAACCAAAAATTGATGTGTGATATTAATGTGCTTACAGATGTTGCCACCACTTATCCAGATAAGAAGTCCATCTTAATGTACATCACATCACTTTTCCAAGTGTTGCCTCAACAAGTGAGCATCGAAGCCATCCAGGAAGTGGAAACATTGCCAAGGCCATCTAAAGTGACTAAAGAAGAACATTTTCAATTACATCATCAAATGCACTATTCTCAACAGGTAAGGCGTCTAAAGGACAGCTAATATCAAAGATGTTTTCCATTTTATATGATTTTTTAGATATCACATGTGCACACATAAAATGGACATTTATATGTGTATATATATACAGACACATTGTGCATGTATATATATACACACACACAAGGCATACTGTGTATGTATAAACAGAGAGAGAAAAACAATGACAGAGAGACAACCTAAACTTTTTAAATTTTATGTGAAATAGACTACAATATTATTTTTATAACACATTCTTAAAATATTTATATGTACTATAAGAATATAATACATTGCATTTCCATTGTGTAATACAAAATAAAACAAAAGGAAAATTTATGTATACAAGTTTATGTACATAAGTTACATAACTTATGTATATATGAAACTTTGATCTATCAACTAGAAGTAGAAAAGCAAAAACAAAAGCAGGTACTGTTTTTAATATTTGAAAAACTTGATGGCATCCTGATGTATTAAGAGATTTTTTTCATTATTAAAAATGACAATTTTCAAAAGGAAAAAAGTGGTTTAAAATAGTTCCAATAAAAGCTAAATGAAGAATACATATGATGAAATTTTTTACTATATTCTGTATCAATTTCAGTGGTATTATTTTATGCCACTGGCTAGTTCTTATACTCAACAATGGGCACTTAAGGTGTTTTCTTCTGCTTTCTTAGACATAAACAATGATGAAAAAGCCCTTAGCAAAATTTCTGCTGAAAGTATGGAAATCTTTTAGGCCTAATTTTCTTACTTTACTAAGTTACTACATTTACCTTATGAAAGCTTCAATCCTTTCCAGGATATTGACATGATGAATTCTGGCTTTGTTTACTTTGGGTTTAGAGAAAATTGCTTTCGGATACCTGTTTTTGCCAGATTGAAGAGCACTGGCCACATTAGCGTTGGAGTTGTGTCAATATGGAATTCTCATGGTTAAATCCCACCTTAATATCTTCCAGATCATCTGTTCTCCAACATGACACCACAATTCTTGCAGTGTACTGGTTTCTAGTATCACTTATAAGTGTTTAGGATTAATGTTTTATCTCACCACTTCTATGCATTGTTCTGTTTTCTAACACATTGAACAGTAGTCCTTCCCTGTTACTTAATGATGTCTCTTCCTCCTCTCTATCCCTTCCCCCAAAATCTTTGCTGCAGATCACAGTCAGTCTAGCGCAGGGCTATGAGCGAACTTCTTCCTCTCCTAAGCCTCGGTTCAAGAGCTATGCCTACACACAGGCTGCTTATGTCACCACCTCTGACCCCACACGGAGCCCGTTTCCTTCACAGGTCTGTCAACATTTACTCTCTGTTCTATACACCAGAGAACTGCTTCTAAGATAATCTAACATGGCTTTTGCTTGTTTTAATTTTTCGAGTGCCTTTTTTCTCCTCCATCAGGAGTTATGTTGTTTTTTCCCCAGTTTTATTAGATTCTCTCACATGCTGCTGCTCTGTTATTGAGACTTCTCTAGTGTTAATATATGGTAATTCTTCACAAATGAAAATTCTTATAATAATGATGTGTGCTTTCGTTATGTAATTACCTGCAAGGTTTTCTTTTACAAAGTCTAGCAAAGGATTTTAAAAAGGTGAAGCTCATTAAAAGGTTTATCTAAGTAACTTTTAAAAGTATGGGCAAATATATGAAAATGATTAATCACAGCATTTGGGGAGTTTTTAAAAGACATTTAACCGGGCTCAGTGGCTCAACCTGTAATCCCGTGCCTTTGGGAGGCTGAGGTGAGTGAATTGCCTGAGCCCGCGGGTTCGAGACCCGCCTGGGCAACTTGGCGAGACCTCATCTCTACAATACATCAAAAATGAGCCGGGAGTGGTAGCGCGCACCTGTAGTTCCAGCTATTTGGAAGGCTGAGGCGGAAGGATCGCTGGAGCCCAGCAGGTCGAGGCTGCGGTGGCCGCGAGCGTGCCACTGCCCTCCAGCCTAAGCGACAGAGTGAGACTCCAACTCGAAGGAAAGGAAGGAAGGAAGGAAGGAAGGAAGGAAGGAAGGAAGGAAGGAAGGAAGGAAGGAGAAGGAAGGAAAGAAGGACAGAAAAAGAAAGAAAGAAAGAAAGAAAGAAAGAAAGAAAGAAAGAAAGAAAGAAAGAAAGAAAGAAAGAAAGAAAAGAAAGAAAGAAAGAAAGAAAGAAAGACATTTGGTATATAAAGGAAATAAATACTCCAAATGAATGGTGTTTATCATATTTTCATTTCAAAATATATTTATATTCTATTTTTAAAATATAATGACAAGATTCTTCATATGATTTCCTTTAATTTTGCTAATTTAAACTAGTATATAGCATGCTTTGTAATATTTATAGCAAAATGTTACACCAGTACCGGGTCATGTTCTATACCATTTAGTACTTTCCACAGTGGAGTTTTTCACCTTTGAAATATTGTAAAATACAAGGAATTGCAGCATTGCATATGCTAGAGCATAAGAATGAAAGGTGCTAGGATTGCTTAGAGTTGCAAGATTTTTTTTACAAATAACGCTTTAGTGGAGCCAATTTGAAAGGTTCTTGAGAATATGACTTTTATCAAAACTACACTATGAATTGGAGTTCACAAATTATAGTTTTGATCCTACTGGTAAAATAGTATACATTGCTGAAGACTCGGTGATTTTTTTACTCCCAAGATAGTGGTATGCACTTAATTAGTGATTTATTTGGCAGTTGATTGATGCATGAAGCTGGAAATTCTAAACTATGAAATATTTCCCCCAAGGAGACATCTATTTTCAGGCATAGTTATACCTCTGTCTTTGGCTAGTTTTATTACAAAGCTGAGCCAATGAGACTGGGTGAAAAAGTTTCGTTGTCTCAGGCTCATTGTCAATTAAATTCTCATCCAAGTTTGTTAAAGGCTAGTTGTATACTCTTGAACAAGAAACTTAACCAGTTTCCTGATTGTAATTAAATAAAAGTAATTCTGCTATACATTATTATTTGCTATATATCACTTGTGCATATATATTAACTAATCTAACCCTTATAACATTCCTTAGGAATGAGAAGCACTATTTTTATCTCCAGTTTAAGTTAATCCACCCTTTTATTTTCCCTCTCTCCCACATCTCTAACCTCTTCTTGCTTATTCCTCAACTCTCTCCTGACTCTGGACTCTTTTTATCACCATTCAGCCTGTAAAACCATTGAGGCTTGGGGAATAGTGATACTTCCCCAAATAAAGGAGCGTAAACTAAGACAAAGATATGAGTTTTTTCCTTTTCTCATTATCACTTTATTGAGCTGCCTCTTCTAGAAGGTTTTCTCCAATGCCTCTTCTGGCAGCACATTTTTACCTCATTACCACCTCATTAAGGCATTGCTCAGGTGTGACTCCTTAATGAAGTAATTGCAAATAGACTTAAATCTTGCTAGACACTATTTTTAAAAATCTACTTTTGTGTAAATATTACCAAATACATAATATGTCATAAAATATTCAACAAAGTCACTCATTTTTTTAATTTAATGTAAATGATAAATTATTTTATGTAATGATAAACATTCAAATAAGCCTAATGTTTAACTTTTAGAAATAAGAAGCACAAATCACAAGAGATGAGAAATGATATATTCTGACCGTTAGATACTAAAAGAGGCACATCAGAAAATTATGTTACACATAGTTAGGTCTGAGAATTTATGTCTTAACTATTCACACTAAGAAAATTTTTCTAGATTCTCAGAAGGACTGAGCTTACACTGCCCCCTATAGGTTGTATCTGCTCCACTTCAAATAAACTGAAGACAGGTGGGACTGGATTCCATTAGAAAGTCTTATTCAAATGTTTACTTGGTGATCAGCAAGGATAAATAAAGTTTTCCATAAAAGGAAAGAGCTATGTGGTGAATGTCTACTATAGAAAACATGTGCATGCCTTTTCTCCTCAGACTCACCAGTGTGCTTGATTTTGTTACAAATTAGTATTATTAGTCACCAAATCAAATGGCATTTATTCAGCTCTCATAGCTTTCTAACATCAATGAAATAATTTTCCTAGAGCCTCTGGAATCAGCAGGTTCTTCTCTCTTAGGGTTCAGAATCTCTCTCATTTTTTGGCTCTTTCTGCTTTCTCAACTCCCTTAGCATAGGAATCTCATGGAAGATGTCTTGGTGCTTTTATTTTGTATGCTCATTTATTTATCAACATGAATTAATATCCTAGCTTCAGTTTATATGCAAATGCCCATTGTATTTATGTCTTCACCATCTCCAATCTTTCTTGAGTTGCAGTTACATTTCTAACTCATTTTCAACTCTTTTGTTTATATCTACTCTTTTTTTTCCTCTTTGAGTACCCTTACATTTAATATTTTTATTTTTTATTTTTTAATATATTTTATTTTTTATCTATTTTTGTGGCCCACTGATGTCTCAAACCTAGTATGTCCCCAAGTGAACTTTGTTTCAAAGTTCCTTGTCCTTTTTCATTATCTCAGTGAAAATATGATTCAGTTGTCACTGAGGCTTACGTATAAGAAATATTCTTTCTTCACTACATTGATCTGATAGTCAATAATGAGACATATCCAGTCAAATCTTTCTGCACTGCACAACATTTCTTTATTTGTTATGTCCTGTCAATTTTCATAAATGCCATTCTGGCCCAGTCCCTCAATACATGTCTTCTACACTACAGAAATGGCTTTGCAATTGATATTATTTAGCTTAACCCCTTCTAAAACAGATTAAAATTTTTAATCACAACCCTAATAATATCATTCACTTATATATAACAAGTCCACAGCTCCATGATCTATTAACAATTTTATATTTTCATGCATATTTCATGCTCATCTATTTCATGTTTTCTTTAACCAAATTAAGTCACTTTTTTTCCCCTTTCCATAAGTGCTAAGATATTTTTCATTTTAGCTTTTATGCTTCCTTCAGTCCAGAGGGACTTTGGGTCCATTTCAAATTGACCAATTTAATTCATATTCCAAGACCTAATCAGTAAGTGATAGAGCCTGAATTCAAGTTTAGATTTATATAAATCTGAGTCTGTGCTCTTTATACTAGTGTGACACTGAATTTTCTCTGCTATGGTTCATGTATGAAGGGTTACTCACAGAGTTGTATTCATTTATTACTTAACACTTATTAGTCGACCACTATGTGCCAGGTAATAAGACCAAGCGATACATCAGGAAGCAATCATACAAAATAACTCCTGCCATAATGAAAGGTATTTGCTTATGAGACAGATGTGTTATTTATATATACATATATATAACACATCTGTGTAAAACAGTGTGTCAAAGAGTATGTAATACACATTTAATAAAGTAAAAATTATATATAATGTATAAAATAGTGTGTCAAAAAGTATGTAATACACATTTAATAAAGTAAAAATTAGTAGTAAATAAAATGGTAAGTGTTAAAAGGAAAAACAATATAGCAGAAAAGAGGAATGGGCAGCATGTAGAGGGAGGAATGTTAAAAGTTTTAGTTTGGGTAGTTGGAGAAAGATTCACTACAAAGGCACTCTTTGAGTAAAAATTGAAAGAAAGTGTTAACATCTGGGTGAAGAGAATTCCATGAAGAGTTGTGAGCATGTTTGGAATGTTCAAGAAAAGGCGCAAGTGAGACTGAATGATAGGAGATTGTGACCAAGATGTAATGGATAATCAGATGACATAGAGCTTTGTAATTAATGGACTTACAGGACTTAAAAGCTATTATTTACCACTAGGGTAGAAAGCTATTGGAGGAGTGATATGAACTCATGTTATCTCAACACAGCTGCTATGTGGAGAATAGACTAAAAAGAGAACGGATAGAAGCAAGGAACCTGGTTAGAATACTTCAGCAACACAGGCAAGATATGACAGCAGCTTGCATCTGGACTACTTCAGTGAACATGATGCATTGTAGTTGAATTCTGGATACCTTTTGAAGAAGAGTCTAAACAATCTGCTAAGTTTGTGCTTTATTATTTGAGAAAATTCAACTGTGTTACTAAAAACAAAACAAAAGCAGAGTGAATTGAATAACATTTTAATAGCCATTAAGCATAAGTTGCAAGCAAATAAGTAGCTTATACAATATACATGAAACTCATGCTTTAAATTTGGCTAACAAGTAAGCCAATAGCTTGTGAAACATAGGCAAAATCATAATGTGTGTTAAATATAAATAGTAATGTAGTAACCTATTACACACATTAAAAATAGAGTAAATGGTGGAATACACAAATGTGACTTACAGATAGAAAAAAGAAGATTACAAGAACACATCATAAGATATATCACCTCTGGGTTGAA